CCGGACGTAACGCGTAACGGCTCCACGGATTGGGTCCATTTCGTTCCGGGTACGGTTTGACATCATGCGTACCCGGAAGAATCAAATGGGGACCAATGACGTATCTCCACGCGGCGTTTTGGGAGGTATTTTCTGTGTTAGAGTTTTACTCGCTTCAGGGTGTACTTTGAGGGTTTGTGACTCTGCAGAGCGTTTACATGCATAAAAACCTTCATAACACAGAAGGGGACGGGTAATAACCAGAAAAGCATGAGGGACCTTTAAAAGATAAGAGATCTCTTCTGGTAACTGGTGTCTCTCATGCTGCCTTCCCTGCTTATTGGCAGGCTCGTAAATTCGAAAACGTATATCGTGGTTTCTATTAGATTGTCTTTTGCTTGCTTTGTTGGAAAATAAATGACACACTGAAGCTAGTTACAGCCTTAGTTATCGTGCTAGACCTTTTAAGCAAACCTATTACTCAATTATGCAACACCCGCAGAAAGAGAAGCACAAGTGCATATTTACTATAGTGATACTGTTAATTCCGACAGCACATGAAGGCAGCATCAGTGGGGCTAAATTGCAGGCGAAGATGCTGCAGACATAGTCCAGGTGGAGACATGATGGTGCAGCTGTACTGTTGGGGAGACAGCTCCAGTGGACAGCTCGGTCCACAGACAGCCCTCAGTCCGGTGTCCTGGTCGGTCCCCGGGGTTATCACCGACATCTGCTGCGGGGACCAGCACACTTTACTTCTCAACGGGGAGGGCGGCGTGTTGTCATGTGGAAACAACTCTCAGGGACAACTTGGACGAAAGAACCGTAAAGATGGGAGAACAACAGGTAGGCTGCAGAATCTCGACATAAATAGCCATGTAGTAGCCCATAAAATAATAAAAACATAGAATGTTAGTACTTTAGTAAAAACGTGAAGTGTTTTTTATCATGACATTTTTTATCTAAATGTAATATATTTCGAGGATATATGATGTTTACTTTATCTTATGTTTGATCATTTTCTTATGAGCCTGCATCGAGATCATAGACTGTATATAGATCGAGATCCAGAAATGAACTTGTTGTGCAGCTCAATCAGCTGTGCTACGTTTCAGTTTCGTTTACAAGGCCCTTGTCAGCGAAGACAACGAAAGTTATGCATGATGTTGAAGTGCAGGTGGCGGGAAAGTGGAACATTCATTACAGTGATGTATTCGGGTTTGTAGGGATAGTGGCAGTACAATAATTAAGATAATTTAAAGTAAGAAAATACAGTGTAATATAGTCCTGCATTCAAGATGACCTACATTGTAAAAGAATAACATTGCATTAAATGAAACAGTAATTAAACTCAACATTTTATATTTAAGGCAATGTAGTTGGTTAGTAGCCTACTTTCCACAATTATTTTACGAGTATTGTCACTTTTTCTTATGTATAGTTGATGGCACGTTTGGAACCGTTTTTCTTGATTTGTTTTGTATAAGATGGGCGATATTGTTATTCCAAATATGATATGTTATCCTCTTTTCTGTCCCCCTGTATAAGGTCGTGTGGAGGGGTTGGGCAATGTGGTGGCCATAGCTTGTGGTCAGGACCATTGCCTGGCTGTGTGTGCATCTGGAAAGGTGTTCTCCTGGGGGGCAGGAGAGGACGGACAGAGAGGCCTTTTACCAAATCTACTCCACAACAGACCAAGGTAAGATCTCACACTGAGGAATATATGAATATGTATACTTTGCACTGAAAGTAGGCATAGGTTTAATAATTTTTACTTTCTATTGTCTCGTCAACATGCAGTCATGTGCAGATGCCACTGCCAATACCTGTGATTCAAGTTGCTTGTGGAAACTCCCACTCTCTGGCTCTGACTAAAGGTATGACAATGAACATACTGATGCCATCTTTCTGATATGATATGCAACAGTCACAGTGTTTATTCCACAGTTTGTTATATTTAGTTATGTGTAATGATTTGATTTAGATCTTAATGTCAACTTATCACTGTGCCAGTTTCCCTATTCCCCACTGCCAATTTAGTGCAAAGTAAATGTTCTAGTTGAAGATAAAGGTGCAACACATTTCAGAAAACAGGAAATGTTGAATGTAAAAAAATGTTTTCATTATTAAATCAAAAGGTTAATCCAAATAAGAAAACATATTCATTTGACTTTAGCTTCTGAACAATTTTAGTGTGTTGTAAACTAAATAACTCCAATATTTCACTTTTCAGGAGGCGATGTCTTCTCGTGGGGTTTGAACAGTCATGGTCAGCTGGGCCTGGGGAAGGAGGTGTCGCTGCAGTTTGTACCTGACCTGGTGCGCGCTCTGAACGGCGTAGCGGTTACCCAGGTTACGGCCGGAGCGACCCACTCCCTGTTCCTCACACTCCCAGGCCTGGTATACTGCTGCGGGGCCAATAAATCTGGCCAGCTGGGTCTCAACAGGGTGGATGAGAAGGGTAACAATTATTTACTTAAATTGTGTCATGTGATGTTCAGCAAGCAGCAAATTGTCCATGCAAGTGCGGGGCTTTTGTCACTTTTAGGCCAATTCTACACAATCTGGACCACCTACAGAGAAGGAGAGGGAAACATAAAATGTTACACTCAAACCCAGGACACACTACCCATGTAAGCAGTGTGTTACGGCCACCTCGCTGAACACCTGTCGCATGCTTGTAGTGTCCACACAGAGGCATTAATGCTCTGCTCCTACTGTATCAGCCCTTCTACATTGTGTTTGACTTTCATAATGGATATAAATAATAGAGTTAGAAATCTGTATTCCTTTGTAAATAATAGTTCTCGCCCATTAAAAGCCGGTATTCTTTTCATTTTTGAGTCACTGCACTTTCCACAACCTTAGCCTGGTAACATTTCAGAATAAAAGCCTTGTGTTAACACATGTAGGAATTCTGTCCAGAGAAAAAAAAAGACTAGAGGGCTTTAATAAAATGTTTTAACTCATAGCTTGTATGTATAATCATTATTCTGTTTTTAATCATATTTATCAGGCAGGTTCAACATCTGCATGGTACCCGCCCTCAGACCTCTGGGTGTCTCCTTCATAAGCTGTGGAGAAGCACACTCTGCTGTGTTAACTAAGGTACTGAATCTTCAGATTTCAACCAATCATAAATTCCATTGTAAACATAATAAAAATATTAGGATGTTGCTTATTTTTGATATGATGTGAATCTGTGATTTCTAGGACAGTAAGGTTTTCACTTTTGGAGAGGGAAGCTACGGTCAGCTCGGTCACAACTCCTCTGATAATGAACTGAAACCCAGAGCTGGTGGGATAGGGGGGGAGAGTGGTTTGATGGACCGTGCACACACAGTTGCCTTGGGGCAGGGCGAAAAAGAGCAGGTGTTTTCATTTTAAGAAAGGTTTAATGTATTGGTGTTCTAGGGTGACTAGCTCCAGTGTAACACTTACAATAAAAAGGGCACACCTATTGCACGTCGTACCATGCCTGGGGGGTAGGGATCCTCCTCTGTTACTCCCCCCTCGTTCCTGAGACCAACGTTCAGATTTGGATGGTTAGAAGCTAAAAGATATAAATCATACAGGCTGATTTATTGATCACAAATCACAATTGTTTTGTCCCCCAGACGTCATACACTTGGTTTTGTCTTCTCTGGGCCAGGCTTTGGGCTTTCGGCGATGGGGCCGAAAAGGTCAAATGGGACAGGAGCGAACAGAAAATAGGTCTGACTCCCACTCTGGTATGCTCTGTCCAGGACCACTGAAATGTCGCAGCCGTCCCCTGCAAGCCTTGCGTATGTATGGCAGGGGTGTGTGTTAGTAACATTGTAGTTCCCTGAATAAAAAAGTCAGAGCATTAATATAGCAAACATACAGACCTATTTGCTTTGTGAAGGCACCATTGGGCGAAACAGAGTGTGTATAGTATACCTTAGCAGAGAATATACAGTCTAGCTTATGCAGCACGTTCTAATCAATTGTTATTTTATATGGTTAGAATTAGTGTCTTAAACACTAAAAGAGAATAAAGTTACAGCTGCAAAATGTATTTTTACCTGGTTTAAGCAACTTGAAGATCAGCTGGGTGGTTTGATACAGAGCGGCACTTCACACTTTCATCTCCAAAGGATAATATTGGTCTGCAGGGAGACCTTCACTTGTGTAGACTTGCGAGGAATAATTTTCTATAGGTACAGATCCAGTTTTTTACCATTGAGTTTAATAGTTAGTTGTTTTTATCAGAGCTTAAATTCGGGTTGAGCGGGAGGCGGTTCCATTTGAAGCGTTTTGGCCAAATGGACAGATAATGGCTGGAGGCGTGCAGCTTGGACGGAGCTAAGGAGCTGGGTGTTCAGAGCAATGGCGTCACAGGGATCACAATGCAGAGGCTGCGTAGAGAAAGAGGTCAGTTATGATTCATACTTATAATTAGCGGCTGAGAGTTATGTTGAGCTGCAATATAAGTATCACCTATTACTTTTAAAGCAGTAGATGGCAGGTTTTTCTGGAGTTCCGCCTTCGTTTGTTCGGTGTTTGATTTCTACAGGGAGGAAAGTATGCGTGCCGTTGTCAGGGGTAGCCGGAACACAGTCTTGTGAAGTTTCGGAGCGAAGGCTGATGGTTGAGGAGTTTCGAGTGGGGTTGAACTGCAGTGGAGGGTAGGAAAAGGAAAGAAGATGGAGAGTCATGAAGCCTCTCGAAGGCGATCAACGAGGCGTGGGTCGGCGTTGTGGTGTAAATGCTTTGCTTTTGATATCAGTGGGCCGTCACCATCAGGAAGCAGGTGCTCTCAACTGTGGATCCTGATGCAGCCTAGCGGAAGCTTTCGACCATGGAGGTTGCAGTGCCTTGATGGATCATACAATCAGGTTAAGAACGTTTGAATTACTGAGGGTACCTGAAGCATTCTTGTCTCTCCTTTGCCGTGTGATACGGAAACTCTGACTTATAGTACAGTGTGATCCACGAAGTCTCTTAGATCCCACCTTTCTTAGCATAGGACAAACTGATTCAACTTGCGCATCTTATGATAGTTTTTTCCACAAACGAGGGTATTCAGTGCTGTGTTAAAACATTACAATAGGTAATCGTCAATTTTGATTTTTGCACGCGGTAAACTTTACACTCCCAGAAGTTGGTATTTTGCTGCTGCACGGCAAGCGTCTCCGTAAATATACTCACCAGAAATCGTCGGCGAGGTTGCTGACGGTCGAGAAGGTAATGAATAGCGGATGTGTGTCCGCTCCATCAAGAGGATGTGTATGATTGTCATGCAGCAGGAGGGTCTGGATGTTGGCGTGCCCGCTGGCACAATATTCAGATCTGGCAAGCGAGAACGACTCCAAGATACACTAAGTAAACAAACGATTTTTCGAACAGTTATTTTTGTAGCTAGGGTTATGGGAGTTTGTGTGATAGATCAAGGTACTTTCGCAAAGACAAACAACTAGTACTGAGCAAATAGCTTTATTGCGTTTAAAACAGTCGAGGTTTACATCATACCGAATAAGGAGTAATGTTACTTGAATTGGTTAACTGATTAAACGAGAATTCTGTAAAATAGCTTTTTGATCGATTAATGTCAGATTAACTGGTTTTATGTTTTCTGAAACAAGTAACAACCAACGTAATAGTCCAGCATTAACATAGCATTAGCCTTACAATTCAGTTGTATGTAACTGTTACATATTTATAATGATCATATTGATTTAGAAAATATAATAACTTGATCAGATCAAG